TATTGTGCAACATACGTGCTTGTATCTTCCTCACTGGACCATGAGATGCACGTGCATGCCATGGGTAATGCCACGCCTGGAAATGTACTCATTGGCAGACCGAGTAAATTTGAGTCAGTTATCTATACCTAACAGTAAATTATTACTGTTTTTCATGGAATACTGTTATGGATATTCTCGCATCCTCGCATGTTTGTGATTTCGATCTTAGAAAACAAGCTATACGTGCAAAGTGCGAGAACGCGAGAATTTGGCAAAATCTCTCTTTCTCGCGATCTCACATTCTCGCACTTTTGATATATTGAGCTTTTTTCGAAAGGTCAAGATCACGAGAATCCGAGAATGTCCTTTACCAGATTCCATACTTTAAATAGAATGTCTCGACGAAGACTTTTAATGGACACCCGATTTTAAGCAAAATAGACACCCTGGTACCCAGGTGTAAGAAAGTTGTGATAGTATATTTTCGGGATGGGCAACAACTGCCCCACGAAACTGATTCTTGCACTGGTTTAACTTAATTTGCCGATACCGTATATTAACTCGGGGCATATGTGAAAAAATGACAAATAATACCAGTTGTCCACAAGACTGGTGAAGATTATCTCCCTTACCTTTAGCTAGAAATGCATATTTAGTTATTTTTATCGCCAACAACTCGTACGAAGCGACGTTCAACTCCATGCCACCTTTCGCTATATCCATCAAAAGCTTGTAAAATGTTATAATCCTGGTAAAAAGAATTTGGCCGTGCTTATTGAACTTTCTCTCTTCAGATTAGGGCTTGGGTAAAGCTGGACCAGAGAGTTGACAATGATGCTTGTTTGTTGTTTAACGCCGCACACAGCAATATTCCAGCTATATGTCGGCGGTCTGTAAATAATCGAGTCTGGACCAGATAATCAAAAAAATGCATTATGAGCACCGATCCACGCAAGTTAGATCGATGACATGCCCCAACCAAGTCTGCAAGCCTGACCACCCGATCCCGTTAGTCGCCTCTTACGACAAGCATTGTCGCCTTTTATGGCAAGCATGGGTTGCTGAAGACCTATTCTCTACTCAGATCTTCAAGGATCATTTGTCAATGAACACACTTTCGTGTCTCCATATCCCGAAGTCTAAAGATTGTTCCCCGCCAAACTGGTGTGGAAAGTTACACATTGGGTGATGTACGTTCCCTTACTGGCTGGTGACCCGTGAAGATCCCGGTTAGAATAGGTCTTCAGCAAATCATGATTGCCGTAATAGGCGACTATGCTTGTCGTAAGAGGCGACTAACGGGATCGGGTGGCCAGGCTCGCTGTCTTGGTTGATGCATGTCATCGATCCCAATCGTGGATCGATGTTCATGATGTCAATCACTGGTTTGTCTGGTCCAGACTCGATTATTTACAGACCTCCGTCATATAGCTGGAGTATTGCAGAGTGCGGCGTTAAACAACAAACAAACAAAGTCGCTGGTATATGTGAGAATGTATGGGCGATCAGCAAACCGTTGCTGCCGACATTAGGGAGTGATATTTCGTTCTCCAAATGCATATATGAGCCTTCTACAGGTGGAATGATTGAGTGTCACTACATTTGTATAAGGGCCTCAGTCAAAACTTCAAACGAATTAAATTAAAATGAAGTCGAAAAACGTCATTGTCCTTTCAACATTGTTTCCACGTGAGCTACATCAACACAGCAACTACTGCAATAGTATACTACAGATACATACATAATCAAGAGGTGCGTTGTCGTGATATAGCTGATGTGTCGTTAATAGCCACACATAATCACACACACCCGGACACTACGCTGTAACCAGAACGTGTGGCCACACACCCGGAGACTACATTATAACCAGTATGTGTGACCACCCACCCGGACACTACGCTGTAACCAGAACGTGTGACCACACACCCGGAGACTACGCTATAACCAGAACGTGTGACCACACACCCGGAGACTACATTATAACCAGTTTGTGTGGCCACCCACCCGGAGACTACATTATAACCAGTATGTGTGACCACACACCCGGAGACTACATTATAACCAGTATGTGTGGCCACCCACCCGGACACTACGCTATAACCAGAACGTGTGACCACACACCCGGAGACTACATTATAACCAGTATGTGTGGCCACCCAACCGGACACTACGCTGTAACCAGTATGTGTGGCCACCCTACCGGACACTACGCTATAACAAGAACGTTTGGCCACCCACCCGGACACTACGCTGAAACCAGTATGTGTTGCCACACACCCGGAGACTACATTATAACCAGTATGTGTGGCCACACACCCGGAGACTACATTATAACCAGTATGTGTGACCACCCACCCGGACACTACGCTGAAACCAGTATGTGTGACCACCCACCCGGAGACTACATTATAACCAGTATGTGTGACCACCCACCCGGACACTACGCTGTAACCAGTATGTGTGGCCACACACCCGGACACTACGCTATAACCAGTATGTGTGGCCACACACCCGGACACTACGCTATAACCAGAACGTGTGGCCACACACCCGGAGACTACATTATAACCAGTATGTGTGACCACCCACCCGGACACTACGCTGTAACCAGTATGTGTGGCCACACACCCGGACACTACGCTATAACAAGAACATTTGGCCACCCACCCGGACACTACATTATAACCAGTATGTGTGAACACCCACCCGGACACTACGCTGAAACCAGTATGTGTGGCCACCCACCCGGACACTACGCTGAAACCAGTATGTGTGGCCACCCTACCCAGACACTACGCTATAACCAGTATGTGTGATACTACGCTATAACCAGTATGTGTGATACTACACTTTAAGCAGTGTGTGATACTACACTGTAACCAGTTTGTATGATACTGCACTGTAACCATTATGTGTGATACTACACTTTAACCAGTATGTGTGATACTACGCTATAACCAGTATGTAGGATACTACACTATAAGCAGTGTGTGATACTACACTGTAACCAGTATGTGTGATACTACACTATAACCAGTATGTGGGATACTACACTATAACCAGTATGTGTGATACTACACTATAACCAGTATGTGTGACACCACACTGTAACCAGTATGTGTGATACTACGCTATAACCAGTATGTGTGATACTACACTATAACCAGTATGTGTGATACTACACTTTAACCAGTATGTGTGATACTACACTATAAGCAGTGTGTGATACTACACTATAACCAGTATGTGTGATACTACACTATAACCAGTATGTGTGATACCACACTGTAACCAGTATGTGTGATACCACACTGTAACCAGTATGTGTGATACTACACTATAAGAAGTATGTGTGATACTACACTATTACCAGTATTTGTGATACTACACTTTAACCAGTATGTTGTTTGTTTGTTTGTTTGTTGTTTAACGCCGAACTCGGCAATATTCCAGCTATATGACGGCGGTCTGTAAATAATCGAGTCTGGACCAGACAATCCAATGATTGATATCATGAGCATCGATCCGCGCAATTGGGATCGATGACATGTATCAACCAAGTCAGCGAGCCTGACCACCCGATCCCGTTAGTCGCCTCATACGACAAGCATAAACACCTTTTACGGCAAGCATGGGTTGCTGAAGACCTATTCTACCCCGGATCTTCACGGGTCTTAACCAGTATGTGTGATACTACACTGTAACCAGTATGTGTGATACTACACTGTAACCAGTATGTGTGATACTACACTGTAACCAGTATGTGTGATACTACACTATTACCAGTATGTGTGATACTACACTGTAACCAGTATGTGTGATACTACACTATAACCAGTATGTGTGATACTACACTATAACCAGTATGTGTGATACTACGCTATAACCAGTATGTGTGATACTACGCTATAACCAGTATGTGTGATACTACACTATAACCAGTATGTGTGATACTACACTGTAACCAGTATGTGTGATACTACACTATAACCAGTATGTGTGATACTACACTATAACCAGTATGTGTGATACTACACTGTAACCAGTATGTGTGATACCACACTGTAACGAGTATGTGTGATACTACACTATAAGCAGTATGTGTGATACTACACTTTAACCAGTATGTGTGATACTACACTATAACCAGTATGTGTGATACTACACTATAACCAGTATGTGTGATACTACACTGTAACCAGTATGTGTGATACCACACTGTAACGAGTATGTGTGATACTACACTATAACCAGTATGTTTGATACTACACTTTAACCAGTATGTGTGATACTACACTATAAGCAGTGTGTGATACTACACTTTAACCAGTATGTGTGATACTACACTATTACCAGTATGTGTGATACTACACTGTAACCAGTATGTGTGATACTACACTATTACCAGTATGTGTGATACTACACTGTAACCAGTATGTGTGATACTACTCTTTAACCAGTATATGTGATACTACACTATAACCAGTATGTGTGATACTACACTATAACCAGTATGTGTGATACTACACTGTAACCAGTATACTACTACGCTATAAATTTATACTCAACAGTTCCTCCGCGGTTGTTCCGATTGTTCAGTACAATACCCACCAAACAAGTCGCCATTACATATATTGAACTATACACAAAAATCTATGTCTTGACCCTGGGATACTGCTCTGTGATACACATATCAAGTCTCGGCTGCACAGCTTGGCCAAGTCAGGAAGGAGCGCAGTATGCCTCCAGCAAGCCGTTAAGACTGTATTAGCCTCTACCCTCATCCCTCGTTATACCGCGCCTTGGTTGATGTTTTCCAGGTCATCAGCATCTCTAACCAAGACAATAAATGCTGCAAAAACCTACCACAGACGTAATATTCTATACGTGTGCTATGTTTTTCAAAGAAGATTCATTTTGTTCACAGAAACAGCTCCTTAGAGCAGGAATCAATGCGCCGAACCAAGTCGCGCTGGGCCTCGCGCTATAGCAGTCTAGGCCAAGGATTAGTCTCGGCTGAGGAGTGTATTATACGAGACAGGCTGTTTGTTGATTGGTTCGCGGCCTTGCAAGGGCTTAGGGCGGTATTACTGCCTGGCTGGGTCTCGGTTGATCGTTCAGCCCATGCTATGTATTGAGAGCGCAGCTGAGATATGGCGGAACATATTCCCAAAACGAGAAAGCCGAACTTCACCGAGTCGGAGACTTTGATGATTGTTGAGCAGGTGAAGAAACACAAAGACATTCTCACCAGCAAACTCTCCGACGCTGTGACGAACGAGCGTAAGAAGGATATTTGGAGTCGTATTAGTGAGTACATCAACAACAGGACCCGCAATGTGCAGCGAACCTCGGGAGACATTCGCCGAAGGTGGAAAAACATGGTGGGCGCTGCTAGGAAGGAGGTGGCCAGAATCAAGAGCATGCCTTCTGGTTCAGCGTCGATACCAGAACCCTCGGATCTCAGCCTACAGATTCTAGACATTAACCCCGAGTGGCAGGATGTGTCTACCTACAATATAAACGGGCCAGACCCCTGTCTCTCGTCGTTCATGAAGGTGGAGGCTTGCAACGATGACGACGAGGAAGATGACATGTCGTACATCTCCTCATCCCCCGGGACCCAGTCCGATCCCAGTCGTGCTCTCGGTGTGAGAACGGGGGATAACGTCATATCACCACGTCACACAAACTTCTCGTCATCGTCTCAGAGTATGACGTCATATACGATGGACAGCAACCTATCAAACCCGAAGAAGAGGCGACTCGAGGAAGTCAGTCATCTTCATCAAGAAATAATGCATCTGGACCGCGAGAATCTCACTCTCGAGAAAGAAAAAATGAAAATAGAAAAGGAGAAACTTTCGATGGAGAAAGAGCAACTGGCTATAGAACGACAGAAGTTGGGAATGGAACGAGAAAAATTAGCCATGGAGAAAGAGAAGATGAACATGGAAAAGGAGAAGTTGGCGCTAGAAATCAGTTATTGGAAGAGGAAGTTGCTGCAAGTAACAAGAAGCCCATTTGACAGTAATGAACGTTCAGAGAATGGCGTGGACTGATAAGACCATACAAGGTGCTTCCTGTGATATACTCATATACCCATCTGGAACAGTATTAGTGTCAGTTATAGTGTCCCGGACGTGATGCAATAGACTGGTCAAGTGTGTTGTCAGTGACGATGTTGTTGTTTGGGTGATAACACCCAGGACACACTGTCATACTGTAGATATAGACATGCTCCAAGGAGCGTACGATATACTGGATATACACTAAAATGTGCACATGGATCCATGAGTGTATGATATATGCTGTATGTAGACATGGATCTATGAGTGTGTGATACATATGATATACACTATATAGGCATGGATCCATGAATGTTTGATATATACTGTATGTAGACATGGATCTATGAGTATGTTATACATATAATATACACTATATAGGCATGGATCCATGAATGTTTGATATATACCGTATGTAGACATGGATGCATGAGTGGGTGATACATATGATATATACTATATAGGCATGGATCCATGAATGTTTGATATATACTGTATGTGGACATGGATCCATGAGTGTATGATGCACATGATATATACTGTATGTAGACATGGATCCATGAGTGTATGATATATACTGTATGTAGACATGGATCAATGAGTGTGTGATACACATGATATACACAGTCTAGAGGCATGGATCTATGAGTGTATGATATATGCTGTATGTAGACATGGATCTATGAGTGTATGATACACATGATATATACTGAATGTAGGCATTGATCCATGAATGTATGATATATACTGTATGTAGACATGGATCTATGAGTGTATGATATATATGATATACACAGTACATAGATATGGATCCATGATTGTATGATATATACTGTATATAGACATGGATCCATGAGTGTATGATATATGCTTTATGTAAAATTTGTTCCATGAGTGAGTGAGTGAGTAAGTGATTTTGATTTTGAGCCACTTTTAGCAACATTCCAGCAATATCACGATGGGGGTCACCAGAAATGGGCTTCAAACATTGTACCCATGTAAGGAATCGAAACCCGGGTCTTCGGTGTGACAAGCGAACGCTTTAACCACTAAGCTGCCCGACCGCCCCTCCATGAGTGTATGATATATACTGTATGGAGACATAGTTCCACGTGTGTATGATATATACTGTATGTAGACATGGATCCATGAGTGAGTGTATGATATATATATATACATATATATATATGTATGAAATATACTGTATGTTAACATGGTTTCATGAGTGTATGATATACATGCTATATACGGTATGTGGACATGAATCCATGAGTGTATGATATATGCTTTATGTAGACATGGTTCCATGAGTGCATGATATATATGATATCTACTGTATGTACACATGGATCTATGAGTGTATGATATATATGATATATACGGTATGTACACATGGATCTATGAGTGTATGATATATATGATATATACGGTATGTAGACATGGTTCCATGAGTATGATATATACTGTATGTCAACATGGATCTATGAGTCTTTGATATATATGATAAATACGGTATGTACACATGGATCTATGAGTGCATGATATATATGATATATACGTTATGTACACATGGATCTATGAGTGTATGATATACATGATATATACTGTATGTAGACATGGTTACATATATGTATGATATTTATGCTGTATACTGTATGTAGACATGGTTACATATATGTATGATATTTATGCTATATACTGTATGTAGACATAGATCCATGCTATATACTGTATAGTTTAGTGAAATAGTCTGGAATAGTGCTCACGCCGCGAAAGACGAGCGTCGCCTTCCCTCCTGTCGCGGGCACTGCTGCATGTGATGGTTCAATAAGTTTTGAACGATCCAACATTGACCAGTCATGCGAATTACAGTGAGTGAGGGAGTATGGTTTTACGCCGCTTTTACCAATATTACAGCAATATCACGGCGGTGGGACACCAGAAATGGGCTTCACACATTGTGCGAATTAGACAATCAGATAGACAGTTATATTCTCCTGCCAAAAATACATACAAAAGCATGATCATGCTTGAGCATGTCATATCAGATTTCCAATGCGACTTGTAGAGTTGAACAAGAACTGTTTGATAGAATCAATCACTTATTGCGAGCAATTCCGGGTCGCATGAAATGAACGTCGCAAATCGAGTATCGCGATTGGTATCGCCTCCTGACTTAGTGTCGTGATGCGGATTGAAGCCTTAGGTTATGCGTATCATGCTACCCTTAATGTATCAGCTATTCACGTGTATCACGAGACGTTGTAACGGTGCCTGTCAGACTAGGTCAGGTCTGGTCATAGGTCGCAAGTCATGTCACAGTTTAGGTCAGGTCGCAGGTCAGGTCAGGTAACACTGGAGAAGTCTTTACAGATTTAGATGTTCAGACCGGAAGATTGTTCTTTCGCTGCGAAAATGCGAAATAAAACGTGTTTTTTATATAGTCATGTCATATGTTCTTTGTACCATGTATTTACCTGTATTATGACAGTGTTGCAGTATTCGAATTTTGTTGCACGAGGAATGTACAATGAGTCCACACCACGTCCATGTGTGCTTTAGCTAAAATGCAAGGACGAAGGCTCTGAAGTGCTGAAATGCAAGGACGAAGGTTCTGAAGTGCTGAAATGCATGGACGAAGGCTTGGAGTGCTGAAATGTAAGGACGAAGGCTCTGGAGTGATGAAATGCAAGGACGAAGGCTCTGAAGTGCTGAGATGGAAGAACTAAGGCCCTGAAGTGCTGATAAACAGGGATATGTAGGGGACTGAAATGTTAGGGATTGAAGTGCTGTAATTTTAAATGACTGTACTGCTGAAGTGTAAGGGAATGCAGTGTCGAAATGATGAATTATATATTATTTCACCTTGAATATATTCTAAGATTTTTGCTGACCGTAGTGCTGAAATTTTGCAAACTGTAATGCTGAAATGCCGCTTACAATATTGCTGAATGTAGTTCTGAGACTATGTATACAGACGATGTGTTCTATACGGAGTAAACATTAAAAGATTCATGTCCGCGTGCTAGTTATTAAGACTGTCGTCTCTGGTGATTGTAGGGCGCTTCATTTCCTTTGTGGGCATTGAATTTCGAATTCTCTGCATGCATGTTTACGCATCTTCAGTTCGATATATGGCCTTCAGGAAAAGAATGGAACACTGGTGTTGCTTCTTCTTGTGCGATCAATCTACAGCTTAACCCACCTGTTACCGTCGAACACTATGTATTTGCCACACATTACTCGTCAGACTTGTTAGATAAAACGTATAGAAAGTGTAACCAAACCATGTCATCGTTATAATCTAATACAGTGTTCGTGCTGCCATTCATGTGATGCAGAATGTAATAGCATCTCATTTGTAAGTTGACTCCAAATATATATCAATTTGATTCGAGTTCATTCATCAACAACGCCTATTGGCCCTGTAGCCTTATAAAGGTGCAACAACTCCCTATACAGAGTTGCCCCCCTTGTCTACCAGAATCCGCTGTTCAAGGGCTTGATCTGTCAGAGCGAGTGAGCGAAATCGGTTATACTGCTTTTAGCAATATTCCAGTAATATCCCAGCGGGGGATACCAGATATGGGCTTCTCACATACCCATGTAGGAAATGGAACCTGGGGCGTCGGTGTTATGAACAAACGCTGTAACCACTAGGCTACCCCACTGTGATCTGTCAGACCCACGCTAGTGTTCCCCTTAGTGGTAACGCCAACGGGCTGCGTCAGTGTGGGTCTTCCCTTCACATACCCTACCCGGTTGGATGAGATGGCAATGTGGTTGTTAACCTTCTAGCGCCTAAAAGGCAGGATGGGTAGTATACTCCCCAGGGAGCTGAGAATGATTCTTGAGTGCACAATGATCAAGTGACCAGGGTAATAATAGCGCTTTGAGCATGTCCATCGGTGGTGTGGAAAATGCGCAATATAAATAGCCTATTATCATTATTATTGTTATTATTATGATCAATCTGACACGCCGACATTGTGTTTATCATGATTCTAGAAGAAAAGGGCATACAAATAAGTGGTTAGAGTATATAACTAAACTTAACTGTTGTGGCTTATTGGGCCACTGAACATTTCATAAGAATGTTGCCTGACATAAGTGTGTTTGTCGCTGCGTTGTATGCAGTCTTTCCGTTATATGTCGCGGGGTAATGTCAGCGGAGAGCTGCTTCCTGTTCAACGTCGCACTCAGCATTATTCCAGCTATAACGTAAATCAGACAAACCAGTGATTGACATCATGAGCATCGATGTACGCAGTTGGATACGATAACATACATCAACAAAGTCAGCGAGCCTGACCACCCGATCCCGTTAGTCGCCTCTTACGACCAGCAAGAGAGGCATGCATGTCGTCAACGTGCACGACCCGGTACTTGGTGAAGTCCACAGCACGGTGCAGATCAAGTATGATAATCAGGACGAGTTTGGGATATGTATTTAATGTCAAATAATATTGTTTATAAAGAGAAAAAACTTAATAGTTTCACGAGTGGCGTTGTCACGAGTGAAAATGTCAACTTTGTAGGTCACAAGATATTATTTGACAATCAAGACAAAATTTAATGGGTTTTTTGTGTGTATTTTCGTTCTTGACTCTTATGATCTTACTCTGAAAATCATAGTGTTTTTTAGGTTTGTCTGTTTGTTGTTTTAACGCCGCACTCAGCAATATTCCAGCTATATGACGACGGTTTGTAAATAATCGAGTCTGGACCAGACAATCCGGTGAATGATATCATGGGCATCGAGCCACGCAACTGGGATACGATGACATGCATAAATCAATTCAGGGAACCTGACTACCTGATCCCGTTAGCTATAGTCGCCTCTACGACAAGTATAGACGCCTCTTACGTCAAGCATGGTTTGCTGAAAACCTATTCTACCCCGGATGTTCACGGGCCGTGATGGTACTGGAATATAAAAGAGAGTGAGTGAGTGAATGAGTATGGTTTTACGCCGCTTTTAGCAATATTCCAACAATATCACGGTAGGGGGGCACCAGAAATGGGCTTCACACATTGTACCCATGTCGGGAATCGAACCCGGGTCTTCGGCGTGACGAGTGAACGCTTTAACAACTAGGCTACCCGACCGCCCTTGGAATGTAAGACAAGGGGATAAATGGGATATCTTCACAAGTAAGTCGCCTGTTACGACAAGCATGGAAGTGTCACTGATGTACTGGTAAACAAGATAAGTTGCGTTGTAACCCGACAATTAACCCCGTATAGCTATTTAGGAGGTCCGTCCAAAGGCGCGTACCAATGGTAAGAAAGGGATAACGGGTGGTCCGCGAAAAGTAGTACGATAGATATGTGCGTGTCCGCCGACATATAGCTGGAATAATGCTGAGTGCGGCGTTAAACAACAAACAAACAAACAACATGTCTTCACATTCTGATGCAGTTTCTGTATTTTATCCAGCCGTGAGTCCAAGATCGACAATGTTTGTAATTAACTTCAGTCAAACGACTTTTAGAGAATTCCGGTATCGACTTTTCACATCGACCTCTTCAATAGGCTTATGAGCAACAATTGTGCACACGGGAGCGTCGTCAATTTCATCGTCGTGACCTGCACATGCATAACATGCGTACACCCTCTCTACCTGTAACAAACCAAATATGTGTAACCCGAATTGTGTGCACCACCTACTTGTCTCAAACGCGTTTTGTGAGTTGGTTCAGCTTATCCTGGATTTTAGAGGACTGAACGTAGCCCTGGCATACTTACTATTTGATTGGCATTCTAGAAGTTCGTACAACTTTATGCATGGGCGGATACAGAGGGGGGTTGCGGGGCTGTATCCGCCCATGTTATGGATAACAACTTATGGTTTATGCATTTAGCAACGTTTCGATGAAGATTCGTACACCGTTATCCAAGTACATAATAAGTACTTTTCTGTATATATCAACTTCTATGATGATACTCACTCACTCACTCACTCACTCCGTTTTACAGTTATGTACCCAAACAGATGCATTGACAAAAATACATAAATTAGGAAACAATGCCTTCCGTCTTTATTGTGGAAAATATAAATGAAAGCGATTACCGTATTCGACGTAATAAGCGCCCCTCTCTAATAAGCGCCCACGGCGATATTTGCTCGTATGTTGGCTAATGAACATTCCCAATAAGCACCCTTTCCGATTGATCAATGTACACAAGACTTATTTATGCACCCTTAATTATGGGCAATTAAATTCTGGAAAAAATACATCGGTGGAATATAAACATTTCAGGCTGTCAGCGTAAACCACGAAATTTATCTTTCAACTCAAAATTCTCTTTTCAACCCTTTTTTTCACCAAAATAATATTCTAATAAGAGCACCTTTTGAGAGCGCCCTGGGCGCTTATTACGTCGAATACGGTAATTACTTTAGATCAATCATCTAAAGTTTGTCCCGAGCCCCGCTCCACAAAGTCATCTCAGAGCTAAGACCATCGTAACATTAACTTTACCATGACTGAGATAGTCTTAGGGCTAATTAGTTCGCTTAATTATTCGGTTAATTTTTATTTGATGATGTCTTAGATTATATCTAAAGAAATAATTGTTGATCCGGTGAGTGCACTGCATTGGCAAAAGTAGCATAACCAAATTAGTGGAGACTAACGGTTAACGGACGACGATGTGCTAAGTCAACAGGATTCCCTAGTTACCGTTGACAGTGGTATAGCGAAGGACGACCTTGAACTTCATTGCGCATACATTTCCACTTCCGCATAAATCACGTGACAATGTAGCTAGTTAGCGGGATGCTCGGATATATTTAGGAAATGTCATTTCTGTCAAACGGTGATACAAGCGTTCTTCTCAAAGGTAAGAACTGAAATTTTGTGACCCGGTAGATCACAGTCTACTTATGATGCTACGGAAATGTCACGTTTCTGTGGGCTGAAGGGAGTTCACAAGCGGCTATCGTCTGTTAGGCTAGTGCGTTACCCGTCTCAACATCTATCGCCGTTGGATCGATACAATTTTCATGAGTAATGAAGACGGTTTCCAGGACGAAAGCTGAGAATACGGTGGGTTTTACCGAGATAATTCGTAGAGATGACCTCACATCGTGTATGACATCACGGTCGCGACTGTCGCTGCATTAGAAATGACATTAACCGCTGTCGTCTGCCACAGTGTTTACATCTGACAGCAGTTACCTGTGGTTGTCACAAGACGGTTATGTTGATACCATCATATTACTCATATGTGGATTAACATTCCAGTGTAGGAACTCTGTCAGAAGCTAAAACTCCAATTGAAACGAATACTTGGTAGTACAAGTATACATTATGACTTGTGTGCAGTGTATCGAACATAGCTCACCTTTCTACGTTTCCGAATGTTTAGCCCAATTGGAGATTTGTTGATTTATGTATGTGACCTGGAAGAGAGTGTCATATCTTACCCATCATGCTCATGCTATCAGCCACTGGATTGTCAAACCTGTGATATCCTACTGAAAGGCAAGACTATATTTGCATATTAAGTTCATTTTGGTGAAAAAAATAATGTTCCTTTTTTCAAGACTCAATTGCATACATGTGTAGGTGTCTGAAATATATTTCATGTTTTGTCTTGACATAGGTTAGTAGATTGGACACTTGCAAATAGATCCTGATATATATCATGTTGTCTTGAAACAGATCAATGGATTACAGATTTGCATTATAGATACAGAAAAAGGAAATGCCTGTATGCATAGCTTGATATTCAAAGGCTTAATATTGGCAATATATTGTGATCTTTAAATATACTCTTCCACAAATCACATACAATACTTACAGCATATTTTAAGGTTGAGCAGGATGGCAGACACTGAAGAAATGAGAGTGGAAAATCTTAATTACCAGGTCACATTTGGCCGCTGACTGGCTAACAGTAACAGTGTTGTATGCAGACAAACACAGCAGGTTTCTAATCACACCAATCAACAGTAGTGTTGGAAGTTTGTAGAAATCTAAACTTTGATTATCAGTTCATCACAGGCAGTCATCAAGAAAACTATTGTCAGACCGTCTATTCATTCACACATGACAGTTATTAAACACAAGGTAGTGTCATTATCACTTGAGTGACAAAATTGACTGACTTTGAGAACTTAAAGAAAATTCAGCTAAATTAAAACAAATTCTATTTCACAATAATGACAGTAAGGAAGGAGAAAAGGAAGTTTTTGTCTTTGGTGCCTTTTTAACCTTTCGTGTGTTCACTTAAATTATTTTGAAATGCCAAGAAACATGACTGTCTAGATATTTTGCATAGTTTAGTTTTTCCCAAAGCTGAACTCTTCAATTACAGTGCATTTTCTCTACAGTTTCTGAACTGCCTCTTTGATCCATCATTCTTAATAAACTGTCAGACAGCCTCTTAAGAAAATGCAAAATGATATCTTTATTACGCAGGATAAATCCATCACTTTGTGTTTAACATGCTCAGTGTGGGTACATCTATGGGCTTGGAAAGTTAGATTAGATTTAGATTTAGTTGGAACACCAGCCCAAAGTGTGAACACTGCCGACTTGATGCTGTCATAACCTGACAATTATATTACCATGATTATGCTCTGCCATGTCTATGATTTTCTTACTCTATGGTTAAACTGTTGTGACTGGTGGAACCGATGTTTGCTTTTTGATCCCTGTTTTAAGCTGGTTTAGGCGAAGTACAGTTTAGCTAGTGTGAATGAATGAGTTATTATTGATTCACATTGATTAGGAAAATAACAGTCTTTGGAATTATTTGCTTGCCTTAATGGCAGCTTTAGCTTGACATGTTTAGGCTGTAATGTATAACATGTAAAATATTTGGCACTATCTAAACTTGCCAAACTCAGCCCCATTGTAAAGATATGCATCAACATGATCAAGTGGCATTGTGTGTTCATGATCAAGTGAGTTGATAATTGTTTCTTTTCTTATTTTTTAATATATTTCCTCACAATGAATAGAACTAGTTTTGGAGTTGTTGAAAAAACACAGTTGTCGTGATCAAAATAATTTGAGTCATGTTGACATTATATACATAATGTGCAGACTGGTTTTAGTCACTGCAAGTGTGTAACACAGAGATGCTATCTGATTCGTGCTAGGGATATCGGCGCACTTTATGTGAATACATTGAATTGAATGTGGTGAATGATAATATTGCATAGCTCTTGCTCAGATGTGTAGGCGAACAGCACTCAACTGCCAGTGGATCAGCTTTCAGAATAGTCCTCTACTTTTGAACATGTTCAGCAAATTTGCTTCACATTGAATCAAGCTGCATCATTGATGTTGGGGGAGGTTGCAGCATCTCTCATATCATGGTGTGGATCAGTATGTTTGTTGCATGACAAGGAATTAATGGCCGACAGTTCTCAGTCTGGTATCCCAGGACTCGGGTATTGAATGAGTGATCAACTGGACAGTGGTGTCATTTGGTCAGTTGGTGTAGGATCCAAGTCTCGAGGGTGAGAAGCTCATTGTAAGCAGCTACAATGGTGGGAATAGATCCAATAACTAGCGTGGGTTCCCTCCCTACAGGATCTATTGATCCACGATGCTTGTGGTGCTGACGCAGGCAAGTCAGGCTTGGGAGAGGAACGTTATTAGAATTCTGTCAATCGCTTCAACTATGGCATTCAGTGATGAACTGCAGTAGAATATGTCTGCCCATAACCAACATCAGTCTTCATCGTATGCTTATATAGTCTGACAGAATCTTGTATATGTTCTCCATGTATGTATACTGGCTGATGTTACATTACTTGTCATATCAGCTGTTAAACATGCTTCAAACATATTTCATTCTGTGTATAAATCTGTGCATCTGCTGAATCAAGGCATATGAAAGTGTCTTATCTTTTTGGCAATATGGTGGAAGATCTATACGTGTTGGAATATTGGATTGCCCCTAATAGATACCAGGCTCTTTAAGGTCATCCTCAGAAGTAGGATCATCAGGTTTACCCATCCCAGGTCTTTCAGAATTAGACTTTTACCATATTTACTAATTAAGTGCCCTGTGCACTTTGTACATTTACAAAGTGGAGAATGTGAACAAACTAGGGCTGGGACGGGTAACTCAGGTACTCAGGTCAGGTGCGTACTGAGTAGGAGGCCCGTGAAGACGCCAGGGTAGAATAGGTTATCAGCAACCCATACTTGCCGTAAAAGGCGACTAACGGGATCGGGTGATCAGGCTCGCTGACTTGGTTGATGCATGTCATCAATCCCAATTGCGTGGATCGATGCTCATGATATTAATCACTGGATTGTCTGGTCCAGACTCGATTATTTACAGACCGCCGCCATATAGCTGGAATATTGCTGAGTGCGGCGTTAAACAACAAACCAACCAACCAACTGAGTAGGACCCGGATATCCACAGGACTACCCGGATATAATGTTTAGGGACAAATCTTGAACTCTGTAGTGATTTTATCATCATGTTTATTGGTAGATTTATACTGTAAAAAACATCATGTACATTATTGACAAATGATAGGATTTTATTATCATGATTAAACAAAGTTGGACACCTTCATTTATTTTTTTACCTTTACCTGCTTCTCCTTCACATCAGTAAATATAGATATTTTGTTATTTTTGTGTAAGGAACAGGTGGCCTATTGTCAAAGCTGTCTTAGCTAAGACAAATCTTAGCAACTTACAACAAAAGCTTACCACACTTACTCACATTGACAGCTTCTGACCTGTGATTAGTATATGGAATAAGCTCACATGTCTAGGTGTTTCCGAAATAATCTGAAAAGATGATGTCATGACAACGTGTAGCACCTATAGATATTGTGATATCTGTTAGCTAAAGGTTATATGGTTCGTCCTCTTCTACCACACTGATTGGCCCACAACTACCGAGTGCTTTGAGAGCATGGTGAAGTGTCTCTATATTTCATTGGCAGCTCAACCAAAGTGTTCTGTTTGTTGGCACTACATCTGTGATAAACTGGAAATAGGAACCTGTTGTCATGGTTATGAGAGCAAGGTGAAGAGTGAGTGACATTACAGCTTTATTTTTATCAAAGGCACATGAAATTTTTGAGTCTGGACGTCAAAATGAGTGGTTGTTAATGTTTGATGACACACAAAATTGCCAGTTCAAAATATTACACAATAACCACGCAGACTGTTATCATGGATAATGAGATGCAATATGACAATTTCAGCCTTACAGACAAGGGCCCAATTCCACAAAGGGATCTTAGCGCTAAGGTGATTGTAACTCAAACTTTAACACAGGCTTGGGATCATCGTAGCACTAAGATCACTTTGTGGAACGGGGCCCTGGTCTGTTGATTGGTACACTTAATTGGTAAATCAATTAGGTACCAGTAAGAAGAATACTTTCGACTTATAAAACCCAGAAATAATTGTGCTTGACATTCATCACTGGATTCATATAATAATCATCATAATTATAAGGTACATGTATTTAAGTTGAAAATGTGATTTCAAAGTGTGCCTTTTGGGCATTGGGAACTTATTATTATTGTGAATTTAACAGCACCATACGCACTCTACTACAAGGAATGTCCAACCCTGAAGTCAGGGTTAGAAACAAACAGTTTTCGTCCACTAGTCCTTATAATGATAACATATAGCAAAACCCTTAATAATGGCAAATTTCTTCTAGTCCTTATGATACCTTTACCATTGGGCAGTTTGGCAAGGTCTATAGGACTTGTGCCAATTTCTAACGCTGTTCAGAAGTACCCACACTTTAAATGGTTATCTGTTCATAGTTGAATAATTTGGCAACAATGGTAAACACTTTACTGATGCTACTCTCATACTTCGTAATAAATTCCTTTTAGTGACATTTTACTTCTATTCTCTCTCGACTCGTGAAGATTCCGGGGTAGAATAGCAACCCATGCTTGCAATAAAAGGCGACTATGCTTGTCATAAAAGGCGACTAACGGGATCGGGTGGTCAGACTTGCTGACTTGGATGATGCACTGTCATCGATCCCAATTGCGTGGTTCAATGCTCATGATATCAATCATTGGATTGTCTGGCCAAGACTCGACTGACAGACTGCCATCATATAGCTGGAATATTGCTGAGTGCGGCGTTAAACAACAAACGAACTACTTCTATTCTCAGTGGTGATTCAATCATTTGTCATATGTACAACTGAGCCCTGAGATGAAATGAGATGAGGCCATACCTTCTTATCAGCTGCTGCGGTTGTTATGTACGAGACTGATGTTGCCTGTGTTGTGTCATGTTTACAGGTCGGGGTCAGCCATGTTGTGTCACAATCCTGTCTTCACAAGGAGATGTGTGGCAATGTGCTCATTTTTGTAATGTAACATTGTTGTATTGTTTTTGTAATGTTGTACCATTGTATTGGTTTTTAGTGTTGTAATGTTGCAGTCTTGCAGGTTTGTTTCAGTGTTGTAGCATTGGTTTTGTAGTGTTGTTGCAGTGTTGTGTAAAATTGGTTTTGTAGTTTTGTTGTAGCATTGGTGTTGTATGGTTTTTGTAACATTATTGTTTTAGTCTTGTAACATTGTTATAGTGTTGTAGCATTGTTGTTTTAGTCTTGTAACATTGTTATAGTGTTGTAGCATTGTTTTATAGTTGCAGCATTGTTGTGTTAGTCTTGTAACATTGTTACAGTGTTGTGGCATTGTTCTATAGCTGCAGCATTGTTGTAGTGTTGGAGCATTGTTATAGTATTGTAGCATTGTTGTAGTGTTGTACCATTGTTTTAGTCTCATATCATTGTTGTAGTGTTGCAGCATTGTTGTAGTGTTGGAGCATTGTTATAGTGTTGTAGCATTGTTGCAGTGTTGTAACATTGTTGTAGTTGAGCTGGACGATGCATGAACAAATAACACAGACCTGAGCCTCAGACACTGAGACGTCCTCCCATGGTAACATTTGAATCTGCTGTGTTTTAAAACTATAGATGCATGTGTTATTGTAGTTGACAAGGGAGGTTGGAGTAGCGTGTTTATCTCACAGTATCTACTGGCTGGCGTATATATGGACTTGACGAGTTATGGCAGGTTAGGGAACTTGGACTAATTATACTGTTGACACTGAGTGACAATTCGTAATTAGAGAAATACAAGATGTGAGATAATAATTATCTACGCCTGTACTGGCTGGTTTGACAATATGTAAAAGTATATTATAGAAATATGCTTCCTTGTGCCTTTTGTTTATTGTTGGTCTGCAGAAATAACCGCGTCATGAAACTATTGCGAATGTGTGTCACTCGCAGTTTTTGCAGTATTTTCCTGTTCGCAAAACTTTCCAGACTTACAATAAATGAGTTTATTTAAAACAAACTGCCTTTATGCCAGTCGTCTGGTGTGCCTCAATCGTGGTGATTTTCACACTAAAATGATCCAAACAAATCATTGCACTTTGTATAGTATTGTGACTCACAATACTATACAAAGTGCAATGATTTGTTTGGATCATTTTAGTACAGTAAGCCTACAATACGAAATCAGCAGTATTGGGACTTGAGTTGAAAAAGAAAGTAGGGTTTTGCACCACAATATACCAGCAATATCACGACAGCGGACAACAGATGGATCCGAGGTCGGACGCCTTGTCCACATGACCAAAGAGGTTAACCCCGTCAGCAAGCTGACAAGGTAAGGATGTCATCTGTGGGATGACTCCATGCCCTGCTACATGGGCTTCACACATTACCGGTATACCTGAGTGAGGAATCAAACCTGGGTCTTCAATGACAAGCAAACGCTCTAACTATCTAAGGTTACCCCGTTGCCTCCTGTGAAGCTCCACAACATGTGCTGGCATGCTGATTATCACACCCTGCTCTGGGCTCATCAGTGCTCATCACGAACAAAGACATGACAAGCCATACTATTATAAGGCAATAACAGTTGGAGTGTTTGTTTTCATCAGAATTGTTGCAATTTCCCCCCACTCTTATTTGAATGTTTTTAGGGGGCTGCTCTTGTGTTTCAGATGATCGTGATGATGCTTTGTCATCGCCTGATGACCTTGTTCAAGATAAAACATTATCTTCGCAGGAAAATAACTCTCAAACAAGGCTCTTTACCTGCTTAAAGCAAAAGAACCAAATTCAATGAACCCAGTTACTCTAAATGTTTTTGGTTTTTTTATGCCGCAGACAGATATATTTCAGCTGTATGGCGGTGGCATGATGTAACGAGTGTTGGCCAGATAGTCCAGTGGTTGACATTTCGAGTATTGTTTCATGCCATCAGGATGTGGTAACACGCAATGCTGTCGTGTTATGGTAACACACAATACCGTCGGGGTGGGATAACAAGCCGTGCCATCGGGGTGTGGTGATACTCAATGCTGTCGTGTTATGATAACACGCAATACCGTCGGGGTCAGGGGTCAATTTAGCTGTTGGCCCGTGGCCAGTTAAAATTACGAAAGGCTTGCTGAAATAGAAGGTAGATGGTCCATCTGGCTAGTCATGAATCAAGTAATTTCAATGAGAAAATATTTATGGGGGGAAGAGGTCGTGTGAATGGTTAACTCAAAGATCATCTCGCTAGAATGGCACAAGCGGCAGACATTTTGTAATGTTCTGTACAACAGCAACATCTTTATTTGCTCATAAAATCTCCATGAAATGAACCAAATGGAAGCCGAGATTTTTAAATCTTAGAGTGCAGGAAATGACGTTTTCGGGCCCCCTGTAAGTTTTGAGAAGGGCCATTTAGTTTTGAGAAGGGCCAGTAACTTTAGAAAGCAGCAAGCCCAGCTGGCTACATACAAATTTGTTGTTAAATCTAACCCTGCGGGGTGGGATAACACACAATACCGTCAGGGTTTGGTAACACAAGGCCATTAAGTATGATAACTCATAATACCATCGGGGTATGCCATGGGGAGTATGATAACACAATGACACAATCACTGAGCTTGACATGCCTGACTGATCATGCACTGATCTGATTTACTCAGTTCGGGATCCATTTTCTTCCTGGTTTCTATGGGGTTACCCTCAATGTTTGCATGAATAATGAATTGTTATAATCATTATACAGTAATGCATCCATGAATTTGGTGTATCTGCTATATCCCAGTAATGATATATAAATGTATTGTAGTATATTCAAATGATGTGTACATGTGTGATGGTATATCCACTTAACGATGTTTGTTACCTACGAGGGCAAACATATCAGGGTCCGTAAAAATCATATGTTCCCTAGGGTCATATCACGTCAGGAGATAACAGTGTTTCCGTCATCCGGACGGCATTGTTGACGTCATTCAAATCTTATTGTGACGTGAGGTCGGAATGACATCACACTAGAAACGACGTCATAGCTGAAGATTGTTGACGTCAGTTGACAAATTGTCGTTCAGCTGCTGTTGTGACTTGCTGTCCTGAAAGGTTAACACTAAAATTTGTCTCTGTATGTAAACAATGGTAAGCACCTTCTTTGGTAATAAATAGAATATGACACTCGTGCCTAAATTACGGTATTTCCATCACTCGCTCGGAAAATACCGTAATTTTGACGCTCATGTTGTAAACATAGTATTACATGAACACTCATATAATATCCTCTCTCTATGTATATATGTATTGTGGTATATCCCTGTAATGATGTATAAATGTATTGTGGTATATTCACGTAATGATGTATAAATGTATTGTGGTATATTCACGTAATGTTGTATACAAGTATTGTGGTATATTCACATTATGATGTATACATGTAGTCTATATCCACGTAATGATGTATACATGTATTGTGGTATATTCATGTAATGTTGTATACATGTATTGTGCTATATTCACATTATGATATATACATGTATTCTATATACACATAATGATGTGTACATGTATTGTATATTCAAGTACTGAAGTATATGCTGTGTTTCCAGGTTGTGGGGGATGAGAGGTGGCAGTGAGCAGACACAATGTTTGAGAGTGTGGTGGCCAACCTCCTCAACAAGTACTTTGGGAAGTACATCCAGAACCTCGACGCCAGCAACCTCAACGTCAGCATCCTCCAGGGTACGTAGTGTCTGTGTCAGAACAGTTGTGTCCAGTGCTAAGATTCCCAGGGCATGGACCATATTGATCCCATGACAGTTTCTTCTTTCTTGATCCCATGTTTATATTCAGACTACCTTAGAAGGAAAGATTAACCAAACAAAGATGGTTTGTAGGATATAATGGGCAGAGTGTGGATCATGCAGGCTGGGGCAATAAGCAAGATCCTACGGACCCCCCACAGACCCCCTACAAGTTGCATACAGACCCTATCGCGGGTCAAGTTGCCCTCAGCTGTGCTTTGCAGACAGGACCCAAAGCAAAAATATTGTCACTCCCCCCGCGGAAACAGCATGCAGAAGAATTTGGGCTCCCGCTGTAGTTAGCAGGCAGCCAATTTAGTATCGTACTACACCAGCATGGTGTTTAACTAAAGCCCCTATCTGCACCTTGCCAAACAGTGGTGCACAAAATGCACAAAATGTATGAAGACATTACCCACACTGCTGACTTCCACATTATATTACAGTTGAGGTAAATTATGATATGGAAGGAAGTTGGGGACTAGGGAAGAAAAGAAAAATTATGCGCCTCCCCCAAAGTGAAATTACATATTTACCAGGAACTCCATTTGGAGTGTGGAACCTTTACTCAGTAATAGACAATGTCCTGCACACATTTGTTTTAGAACTGTTAAAAGCCATAGAATTCTAAGTGTTCTTAGAATTAAGTGACATGATGTCATTGAGGTATTTCCACAAATCACATATACTTTAGTCATTTGAATTCTTTTTTTACGCACACCCAAAGCCATCCATGACGATATTTATATGTACAACAATCGGGAAGGATGCACCTTCCTATACCTCCGTAAAGAGGTGGGTAGAGGAGTTTAAGCATGGCAGAGAGGGCCTTGAAGACGAGCCCCGTACTGGAAGGCAATGATCCAGAGAATACACAATATGTTGTAGATCGACCAGCGAATGATAAAGTGTCACATTGCTAGTTCAGTAAGCATTTCTCAGGAGAGAGTACATACCATTATCAGAGAATCCTAATCCAGCTCTGTTTGAAGCTGATCCACACAGATTCTTGCAACAATTTGTGACCATGGATGAAGCCACGGTTAACAACTTCCAACCTGAGTTCAAATAACAATCAACTCAGTGGAAGCATTTGACATATCACTACCAAAGAAGGCAAAGCCCATCCCAGCCTTAGAAATTGGCTCTAGTCCTGTAGTCCTTGCCAAACTGCCCAATAGTTAAGGTATCATAAGGACAAGTAGAAATTTGCCATTTTAAGGGCTTTGCTATATGTTACCATTATAAGGAGTAGTGGACTAAAACTGTTTGTTTCTACCGCTGCTATCCCATCGTCTGGATAGGTTATGGCCTCCATGATCTGGGATGGGGAGAGCGTCATCTGCTGGACAGTCTTCCAAAAGGCCAGACAATAAACGGGGCATATTATGATGCAGTTTGAGGCTGAATGAGATTATGACAAAGAGATGTGGGGAGCTGAGAAGAGGTGTGGATTTGAACTACAGCACCACCTTTTTTTGCTGATCTGGCTCCGTCAGACTTCCATCTGTTTCCCAAACATGAATAAAGCTCTAGCCAAACACCATGAATATTGACATCATAGCAGCTGCGGAGAACTGTTTGAACAGCCAGGAGAAGGACGTCTACGAAACTGGGATAAAATCCCTTCAACCTCATTGGCAAAATTTTGAATGTATCATTGTGGAAGGGGAGTATGTTGAAAACTAAGTCATCTTAATGTCTTTAGGTCAAGTCTTTCTATGTGATGCTCAGAACTTATCAATAAACCCTCATAAATAATACATGCCTCTACATGTACCTGTGAAGCCTAGGAAGGTATTAACCATTATTCACTCAAAGGAAGGTATTGATTATAATTCACCATAAGGAAGGTATTGAGTATAAATCACCTCTACATGTACCTGTGAATCTTTGGATGGTATTGATTATATTACACCCTTTTATGTAAATATGAAGGAAGGTATTGATTACTATGCACTCCTACATGTACCTGTCAAGCCTAGGAAGGTATTGACTATAATGTTCCTAAGAAAGGTATTGCTTATAGTTATAATGCACTTACGGAAGTTATTGATTATAATTCACCTCAAGGAAGGTATTGATTATAATTCACCTCAAGGAAGGTATTGATTATAAATCACCTTAAGGAAGGTATTGATTAGAATGCACTTAAGGAAGGTATTCATTAAAATTCACCTGAAGGAAGGTATTGATTATAATGCACTCCAGCATGTACCTGTCAAGCCTAGGAAGGTATTGATTATAACGCACTTACAGAAGGTATTGATTATAATTCACCTCAAGGAAGGTATTGATTAAAATGCACTTAAGGAAGGTACCGGTATTCATTAAAATTCACCTAAAGGAAGGTATTAATTATAATGCACTCCAACATGTACCTGTCAAGCCTAGGAAGGTATTGATTATATTGCACCTATAGAAGATATTGATTATAATGCATGTGTCTCCCTGCATCTGTTGACATGGTAAAGGTGAGATTAATAATCTCGAAACTGAAGGTGTGTTTTCTTTGCTGATATAGTTTGGTGTTATTATGGTTAGGCCATTAGTTTTTTAGTTGTTGGATCACAAATGATTTAAGTTAAAGCCAGAAGTCAGAGAAGGGAATATATATATATTTATTTTTTGAAAGCTTACATCAGGATAATGACTTATAGGACGGGAAAATAACAAGAGAAAAAAAAGATTTCACTACCATTGGTGCCATTGTCTGCTGGAACCTTTGTTTCTTCTCGGAGACAAGAGAATTAATTTCGACAAAGTCTGTGTATCAAGGACATGGAACAAAACTCTTTATTATGCAAGGAATTTTGCAATGACACATCGACTGAACAACATAGGGAAATATTAATGTCAAACCGAGCTTCATAAGTTTAATAGATGATTTTTTTTTACAACACTGAGTAATCTCAAAACAAATTAACTTGTATCAAAAATGAAGTCTAAATTTGGATTATGTTTTTTTGATTTTGGAGAAATGAGGGTCGTGGATCCATGATCCAACAAATGACATAATAATGGCCTTATACAATGTTCTCTGTGATATAAGCTCTGTTAACGTGTTATATATGTTCTGTTTGCTTGCTCAGGTGATGCAGAGTTCACAGATCTACAGCTGAGGCCAGAGGCATTGGTAAGTGTCAGTTCTGTGTTATTTCAGCTGTACACAAGCTGTGCAGGCTGAGAAGTGCCCCCACCTATTACAAAACATTCATAAAGAAGTAAATGATAATTGTTGGTTACATGCTACATGGAATAAGCAAATATGATATGATATAACACCAGTGTGAACATGATGAAGGGACTGTTTACTTAGTTACTGTGTTGACAAGGATGTGTTGACACGTTAGTCAGAGGGATGACTGATTTATGATTTGGGACTGATTAATTTAGTCCTTGTTTGAAAACAATTTTTTTTCGCTGGACCTGCTAGATGTACTGAATAAATATGTTCTGAACTAAACTAAATTAAACTAAATTAAACTAAATTATACTAAACTAAACTAAATTGAGAATCTCACCAAAGTGTCTTTTGATACTAAATTATCAACGACTGTTGATATATTTGATATCAAAGGACATGAGAGTGAGATTTTATTTATCATCCAACATTATTCTTCCAACTTTTTCAGTTTGTAGTTAGTAATGAGCAGTGTCTTATGTGTAAAAAGTACTGGTAACAGCTTCAGTAGCAGAGCCATTAGTGATGTCATTTGATTGTAACGTCTTGGTAACCAATGACATCACAATGGTCCGCAAAGCATTGTGATGCAATTTCATTGCAGCTATATCGACACTGTAGATATGGCTTGATCTCACCTAAGCCATATCTTTCTGTGGGAGCCAGTTTTGGATGATAAACAAAACTAATACACTGAAAATTTTGTTGTTTCACTTTCGTTTGCCTGTTTTGAAATTTGGTATCTGCATTCCACAATTTTTCAGGTACAATCGATTTCAAAGAACATAACACGTTTTTTTTTGCTTAGAAGTTGTTTGACCAGGATCAAAGCATTAAACATGTACAGAGCTTTCCAAATGTTTTATGGTAGACATGTGGAGGACATTTCCAAATTTGACGCATCAGTGATAAAAAGGTTGTCCAATATAATTCCCTAATTTTACTTGCACCATAAGTTTCCGTGGTCGTTCACGTGAACACTTGACTTGCCTTTGCATGTGTGAGTAATGTGTGCCACAGGGGATGCAGGATGCGCTCCCCTATCTGCGAACACCTTGTATCATCACTGTCTGTTATTGATTCATAAAGACTTGCTTATTATGTTGTCGGAAACATACAATGGACTCTGCATTTAACAGTTTTTTCTTGATATTACAGAAAGGATTATATTTATAATTACTAAATCACAACCAACCCTGTTCATAATTCTGGGATGAAACATCAAATTGGATTATCTCAAAAGAGGAATGGTAATTTCTTCAGGTTTTAGAGGTGAGGTGAGGTGAGGTGGGATGAAATGGGGAATAATGTTATGTTCGAGCTTTCTTCACTTATACGGTGATGTGCATGCACCTGTGTGTGCTGCTTGTACTTGTCCAGACTTGTCTTGTGAAGGTAAGGTTGATTTCTTAAATTGACAGTGGTTGATATAATCAACACTGTGCTAGAACTTGAGATTCCATTCAGCTCATTGATTTACTCTATTTGCTGTTAACTTCAACATGTTCATTTTACAGCACCATGACATTGATATATGGACACTATCATCCTCTCACACAGTGATAAAATTTTATTACATGCAGGGGTCATGGGTGGCATAGTTGTCTAAGGCTCTTCAATTCGCTGTGCAGAGTTGTGCCCCTTTGGTTTGACAGGAACCTATGTTTGTGTGTTTGAAGCCCGGTTTTGAGCCAATTTTTTGTCAATACTGTTTTAGAAACATAATCAGAACAAACATGTATTAAAAACTACAATTATAGGTTTCTGGCATCGGACACAACTCTGCATAGCAAATTTCTGCGCTCTAGTCAGCGGTAGAAACTAACAGTTTTCGTCCACTAATCCTTATAATGATACCATATAGCGACACCCTTAAAAATGCCAAATTTCTACTAGTACTTACAATACCTTAGATATTGGGCAGTTTGGCAAGGACTACGGGACTCATGCCAATTTCTAATGCTGGCCTTGACCTGTGAAGATTCCGGGGTAGAATAGGTCTTCAGCAACCCATACTTGCCATAAAAGGCGACTATGTTTGTCGAAAAAGGCCACTAACGGGATCAGGTGGTCAGGCTCGCTGACTTGGTTGATACATGTCATCGATCCCAATTGCGTGGATCGATGCTCATGATATCAATCACTGGATTGTCTGGTCCAGACTCGATTATTTACAGACCGCCGTCATATAGCTGGAATATTGCTGAGTGCGGCGTTAAACAACAAACAAACCAACCAACCAACTAATGCTGGCCTTAGACAGCTGGGTATTCCTTTGCCCCATCTTCCAATATATCTGATCTACGTGAATGTTGGATAAATTTGTACTGATACGTAAACACTGGAAGACCTTCATACAGTGAATAGATATTTTATTGGTTTGATTTGACAATAGTTACAGTTCATTTTAACTAAAGTTAAGTATGATTTTTATTTTGTAATTGTAATTATTCCTGGTGCTGTGTTCCAGCATGGCAGTATGCCATGATGTCTCGGCGAATATGTTATGCTGAATATTCCATTGCCGCTTAGGCAGTCGGTCGTATTTGCTCCTTTTCTCAAAATAAACTATTATTGATTCAGAAATAGGCAGGCAGTGCACCTTGAAGGGACGTACTAGCTTACTGGACAGTATATTAGGACAGTGACAGGTCTATATTTATGTCATAATGACAATTGGTAGCCAGTAGCAGAAGTCCCTTGAGGTAATTACTTGTCTCTTGTTCAATAATAAAGTCATTGCCATAGCTCACAGCCTCAGTGACATGGTGAATAATGCATGGGACCACATCATAAACAGGGAGTGTTTTTGTGTGGACTGGGAGCAAGTCTATGTTATCTCACTGAACCGTAGACTTTCTACATACCGGTATATATTGCAGTGTTTTTGTGTAGACTGGGAGCAAGCCTATGTTATCTCACTGAACGGCAGACTTACTACAGTTATGTTGCAGTGTTTTAGTGCTGCGTTGAAGCAAGTCTATATTGTGAGTTGTGATGTCAGGGTGAGGTGTGGTGATTTCAGGGTGAGGTGTGATCTCAGGGTGAGGTGTGGTTATCTCAGAGCTAGATGTGATGTCAGGGTGAGGTGTGGTGATGTCAGGGTGAGGTGTGGTGATGTCAGGGTGAGGTGTGATGCCCGAGTGAGGTGTGGTGATGTCAGCGTGAGGTGTGGTGATGTCAGGGTGAGGTGTGGTGATGTCAGGGTGAGGTGTGATGATGTCAGGGTGAAGTGTCATGCCCATGTGAGGTGTGGTGATGTCAGAGCTAGATGTGATGTCAGGGTGAGGTGTGGTGATGTCAGGGTGAGGTGTGGTGATGTCAGGGTGAGGTGTGATGCCCGAGTGAGGTGTGGTGATGTCAGCGTGAGGTGTGGTGATGTCAGGGTGAGATGTGATGTCAGTGTGAGGTGTGGTTATCTCAGGGTGAGGTGTGGTGATGTCAGGGTGAGGTGTGAGGTGTGGTGATGTCAGGGTGAGGTGTGATCTAAGGGTGAGGTGTGGTGATGTTTGGGTGAGGTGTGATGCCCGAGTGAGGTGTGGTGATGTCAGGGTGAGGTGTGGTGATGTCAGGGCGAGGTGTGATGATGTCAGGGTGAGGTGTGATGCCCATGTGAGGTGTGGTGATGTCAGGGTGAGATGTGATGTCAGTGTGAGGTGTGGTTATCTCAGGGTGAGGTGTGGTGATGTCAGGGTGAGGTGTGATGCCCAAGTGAGGTGTGGTGATGTCAGGGTGAGGTGTGATGCCCATGTGAGGTGTGGTGATGTCAGGGTGAGATGTGATGTCAGTGTGAGGTGTGATGTCAAGGTGAGGTGTGATTATCTCAGGGTGAGGTGTGGTGATGTTTGGGTGAGATGTGATGTCAGTGTGAGGTGTGATGTCAAGGTGAGGTTATCTCAGGGTTAGGTGTGGTGATGTCAAGGTAAGGTGTGGTGACACTTGCTTATAGGAACAAAATGTGCAATGTCTGACACATTAATAAGGACATCCATCATAAAGAACAAGATATCTCAGAACCTGACACATTAACATCATTGAAAAATCAAAGATAAAATGAGTATGTAGTCTACATAAGTTGTACTTGCTTGCTTCCAAGCAATCCTTTGCTTTCGATGTTCTAATAAAGTCATTCAGCTTTCGTTATGACATGACAACACCCTTGAAAGGTCTTCAGTTGTCCTTGAATGTTGACAATGATAATCAGTGTGAACATTAGGCTGACCTCCCCCCCACATCACACCCCCACCCCCACTCCCTCCCCATCCATGCCCTTACCTCAAACAAGCAGGTCATTCTTGACTCTTCCAGGTCACCCTGCAACCACAGGGAGCAAGTCAATTACATGCAAATAATGGTTCAGGTCTGCAGTGTATAACAAGTTTAGTCCTGAATAAGACTTTATATTTATTGGTTTAACCATAATGTGCCTTGTAGTTTGGACATGATTATCGGTGCAATCAAACCTGATTGATACGAGAATTATGGCATGGTGATTACACTGAACCAGGGCATGAACAGGCAGTTCGGATCAATAACGCCATGCTTTCCTGTTAGTGCAGATCATAAGCAGCATTGTTAAAATTCATACATTGGGTTTAGCTCATATATCATCGTGGTAGATATATCTATTTTCCCTGACAAATAAGGTAAATCAAGTTATATGGATGTATTTATATGTAGCTATTTATAGAGGAGTATGCTTACAAATTCAAGGCTAAAGCTCTAATGGACATGTTGTATGGGGGGGTCCTGATTCCTTGAGTCAGTAGTCATCTTTTTTTCCGGCTTAGTCATGCTAATTTCAGTTTAGTCAGTCAAAAAGGACATGAGAATAACGAACAAGCCGTCAAATTGAATCTAAAATGCTAAATCGTCTCTATGCAAATGTGGATGGTCAGTCTGGCTGTATGGAAACATGGGGACAGCTGGTCCTGCTTTCGTTTTATTACTGC